ACCACCACCCCCTCCCCCCCTCTCTCCCAAATCCTGTTACTCGCCAATTCCCACGGTTCTTCCCCATCGTTCTTGTTTCTGGCTTGCCTCCCTATTCGTCTGTCTGGGTCTCTGGGTCTCTGGGATCTCTGGGTTGTTCCTTTTGCGTTTTATTTGCATTGGTCAAAGTCACGTTTGCTGTCGCTGATTTGCCCATCCCGCCGTCCACCGCGTCTATTATTATTGACATTATTTACTGAACTCTCTCCACATTTTGCCGCCAATCCAGCTCAATAACCTTGGTAAGTTGGCAGCTATATATCTTCTACAACCACGTCCCACTCTCACTACCGCCACTCCCACGGGTTAATCCCGCCCAGCGTCCCAAGGCTTTTTCTTCTGATCTGTGCGGTAAGCGATGCTATTCGCACACGTCTCTTCGGCCCTTTCTGTGTCCTTTCTTCCCCCGTCCGGCTCACCCGCCCGTCGCCTGCCTGGGCAGAGGAAGCTTCTTTATTCTCTACCAATCAATTATCCCCTTTCCTCCTCCCACCCCAGCGCTTCTAACGTCCTTAACCCCCATATTATTGTGAATTACCTAGTTTCAGATAGAGCACTACCCATACTGATCATCCGTATGTGATTTCAGAATATTAGAAGGGTTGTGTTTTATTCCTTCACCCCCCCCCGGGGGAACATCTCCGCCTTGTTGTTCTCTTGCTGCAAAATCCAACCACCGCCGTCCGTCGCATCCGCGCATTGCCAACGGCGGTTCCGACGGGCGTTTTGAAACATCCAAATTTCAGGAAGGCAGAATCAATAATTAAGATAGCGGTTTGGATTTTTGTAATCGCTTCCGGAGCACTACCACCCACACGCCCTTCATCATCTTGTATAACTATTTATTATTCTATTTGTTCCGTTCTTTTCTTTCCATATATATTTCCCTTTTATTTTACTCGCTCTGCTTCAATTGACTAGAGCCCTTTTTCTATTCCTGGTAAGTCTTCTTTCACTTCTCTCTTTTTTTTTTTTTATCCCCCTCTCTTGTGAATTTCTCCACCTGTGATGAACAATGATGTAACCTGCATCAGTTCTCATATTTGCCAACGCATTCTTCTCCCAATAGTAAATCATCATCCTTGCCTTGCTGCATCTCGCCGCCGGCTAAAACTGACTTAATTGTTCATCACCCATTTTAGCTGACGCCTTGTCTGTTGTTGTCGCTCCCTAGCCTCACAGTCTTGATCTTTCTAAAAACTTCCTGCCCTGATTTTACCTGTTATTTTATTATTTTATTTATTATATTATTTTCTTCCTCATCTTCATGATTGCCCCTTGACCCTGTCAGATCTCCTCCCTTGCTCTCTTGCCATTCGCTCTACCTACTCCCAGCCCCATCGATTTTTGTTTAGCGATTCCCCCTCTAGTTCCCCCCTTTTAGCCCATTCCCCAACGTTGCACTCGCATGGCTGGTTCTTGACCTGGTCGTTTTCCCCATCTAACATCAGGATCCCAGTTCCATAACATCATCATCTTCTTTCTCCTTCGACTTGGCCCTACTTGGCAGTCCCGGTAACCCACTCTCGCCCCAGAAGTTACCCGGCTCCAGTCACCAGCTTTGGGCACCGCCTCAGATCTGACCTATCGACGTGGCAGACGCTAAACAGCCCATCTTTGCCCCGAACGAGAGAATCCAACTGCAAAACGCGAACTTTCAGCCACCTTTGTGCTGTCAATCGTTGAGCCTGTATTTTCTCTATTTTACCTATTTTTTCTTCAATTATTTTGGCGGCATTTTTTTTTTTGTTTGTCCCGCTCGTTTTTCTCTCTGACTCTCCCAATTCTTATCGTCGCTTGAAACTATTGCACGCCATTTTTTTCATCCCCCACACCCTAAAAGTAAACGAGCACTGCCTAAATTCAACCAACCCGAAAAATTAAAATTGGGAAAAAAGAAACGAGACGAAAACAAAATCGACCACCGCTGTTTGACAACACATCGTGCTGTCACCCACCCACCTTACCTTTTCCCCGGTTTCCTGCATCAGAGCCCAACCACGTCTTCAATGTGATTGCCCTGTTTAACCATTGCTTAAAAAGAACAGTTTAAATCTCATTTTACCTTTTTTTATACCCTTTTTCCCTTCAATCCAACATTACCGTCGCATTGAATTTATCGCCGTCCCATTGTGTCGAACTTGTGTGTGCGTGTTGTATGTACATACAGCCGGCCATTTGGCGCCGAACGCTGACATTGGTCTCCTTGTCCCCTCTCATTTTGACCTAAATCCAGTGACCATCCCACTGCTGCATTAGGTGCTCGACGCGACCGGAGAGGCTGCAGATTTCCCATTCCAGCGCCATCGAATCATTACGTCGCGCTTCTTCCGTCCTCCCTCCAGCATTCTTGATACTCGTCCCCCGTCCCACCCTATCCTGTCCGCCTCTGTCCTTTAACTATCCCTCGATCGGAGAGTAATCGCTGCCTTCGACTAAATTTTATTGCTTGTTGTGACTCCATTGGCGCGCTTCCGACGCTTGCCGCTAGTTTTAAAGCCAGGCATAACTTGCCCTGCATCCTCAGCTCCTTCTCTGGATCGATAGAAGAGTAAATAAAAAGTTAATTACTCAACTACCGCGCCATCATGGAGTATCCTCCTCAATATCAACAACCTCACAACCAGCATCCTCACGCGTCCTCTCACATGCCAACTTATCAAACCTCCCCCTCCAATGCTGGCCCGCCGGTCGGGTCTATCACATCGCCCACAAATCCTCAGGCACACATGCAGCACCCTCACCAAAACCACCAATCCTCACCGATCCTGCCTTCACAGTCACATTACCAGCAGACACAAAACGCGCCCGGCCAGGTACATCAGCAGATGAACTTTCCTCAACAGTATGCTCAGATTCCACAGTCATATGGAATCACTCCCACTCAAGCTGCGGCCGCTGCAGCAGCCATGGCCACCGCGGCCGCTGCCGGACACAACCATACATACTATCAACCAATGCATCAAGACTCGATGGGCGGCGCCATGCCACCGGGAGCCCGCGGCTCACCTAGATTGCCGTCTTCTCAAGTAAAAAATGAACGACATCCGCGATCACCCCCGCAAGTCTCTGGGCAAATGCCACCACTATCCAATCAAGTCCAAATGCCCCAAAACCCGTCTATACCTCAACCACAATCTCAACAGCAACAACAGCAACAACAGCAACAACAACGCCGCATGAGCCAACAAATCAGCAGTCCACATATACAAAATTCCCAAACCACATTGAATCACAGCATGCAACGACCACCCCCAGGACCCTCCCCCATGGCTGCGCCATCCCAACACCCCCATTCTCACCCCCACCAACCTCCACCCCACCAACAAAACCAACCATCCCCCGAAATGGCCACGGGCGCGGGCGCTGCCGAAGAATCCCCCCTCTACGTCAACGCCAAACAATTCCACCGCATCCTCAAACGACGCGTCGCCCGGCAAAAACTCGAGGACCAACTCCGCCTTACATCTAAGGGACGAAAACCCTACCTGCACGAATCGAGGCATAATCACGCCATGCGCCCGGCCGCGAGGGCCAGGTGGACGCTTCCTGACCGCAGAGGAAGTAGCGCAGATGGAAAAGAATGCCAACGTTAACGCGACGGGGATTGAGAATATACCGAATAATAACCACGAATCAGGGAAGGTGAATAATAACAGCAACAGTAACGTGCATGGCAACGCGGCGCAGGGACATGGTGATGGCGGTGGCGGTGTGTCGAATGTGCATCCGGGTCAGAAGCGGAAGGCTTCTGCGATGGGGAATATTCAGCAGGCGCATGGAGGGTCAGGGAAGAAGTCGAAATCTGCTGCTGCTGCTGCGGCGGCGGCGGCGCAGCGGAGGCCGAGCACGAATGTTGATAGTGATGGGGATGGGGATGATGATGGGTAGCGAGTGTAGCTTAGCTGTGAAATGGTGAGATGTGTCATTTTGTTGTCTCTATTTTTACTTTCATCTAGGTATGAGGTCATGCCCAAAGGGATACTTGTTTAGTGTGTGTGTGTGTGTGTGTGTGTGTGTGTGTGTGTGTGTGTGTGTGCTTTCCCCTTTATTTCCTCCTCTTTTTCGGAGCATCTGTGTTGCGTATGTTGCTTGATCGATTTGATCTGATTGCTTGGATGGGATGGGAATGTATTTTCTCTCATATATATGTTTGCTTGGTGTAATTGCGGGTTTGCTTTGTTGTTTTGTTTCTCTGTTGTTTCTCTATTTTTTTATTATTATTATTATCAAGCCAGTTGAGCCCTTTGTGATTGTTCCTCTTTTTCCCCATACGTGTATGTGCGTATGTGGGTTGTGCCTCTTGCGTGTGAATTTTTTTTAATCTCTTTGCCGCTCGGTTTTTATTGTTTCTATGTTTTTCCCCTTTCTACCTAAATCATCTTCCCCTTATTAACTATTGTTTATTGTCATTTTATGACGGACCGGTCATGGATGAAAATATCCCCCCCTCCCCTCTTCCATTTAGTTGCCATTCGATTCTCCCTCTCCTGTCACCTTTTTTCATATTTTCCTGAGATTTTATTGTTTTTTACACGCTTACTATATACTACCACGGCCATCCCGATACGCTTCGTTGCGCATTATTGATATCAATTTGGAATTACCCCCCTCCCCCCTCCTCTCTGTCCTCGTTTCTCTTTTTCCCCTCGCTTCAAGATACAAGTCAGTCATTCTGTTTTTTCATCAAACGGATCCTCAAGAATGAGATTTGGGATTTGGGTTGGGGGACCACCAAAAAAAAAAAAAGTCATCATCTTTTTCCTTCCTCTGCTTTTCTTCCTTTCCCTTTTTTTTAAATTATTTTCCCTTTATTTTTTAATCTTAATTTTATTTTGGACCAAAAAAATTTGATTCCCCCCACGTCTTGAATTTGATTTAGTTTTTTTCATGTTGGTATTCATGACAGAGTTTCTTAGTTCCTATAAATATGACTATATATATATCTCTATATAGGTAGCTCAGCTGACAATTTGCCTTTTTTTTTTTCAGTCTTTTACTGTTCTATTTTTATTCTCCATCTAAAATACTTCCTCTTGAAAATCTTACAATCCTACTCTTCAGCAAAACTTTGATGAATGAGCTCACTTCATGTCATGTTTCGTTGTTTATGTGTACCTTTTAGGCAGACTTATATAATCAACCCATCTGTCAATCCGAGCGCGGTTTTTTTTGGATATTGCAAAACCCCAACTATCTATCAGTGAGTTACTAATGAATCTGTTGGGCATGAACCTGCCCGGGGTCAAAACCGCCCCACCGCACGTGATATACGCGTATATTAGTTAGCCAGCCCAGCTCCTTCCCGCCAATGGAAGAAACCAAACAGAATCCGATGACTAACACATTCAACGCTTTGTCACGTGGCCAATCCCTTGTTCAAATGTTGGTTCTCCAACGTCAAAATGGATGAGACTCGAACAGAATTGCGGGGGAAGTTTGTTTACCAGACACATTCTGTGGAGAAGTGTGCGACATCTCCTTCTTTTCATTGTTGGGCGTTTTGGGTCAGTGGACAAGCTGCCTGTGAGCAGCTTGACATGCCGGGGGAAATAGAATCCACCTGCTGCTGCTCAGCGCTCCGTTCCCAACCAACCATTTTGAATAACTACGGTGTAGTTGAACTACTGGAACGACCGCAATTAGCTATTGCATTGCTTCAATAGCCTTCCACCCCTTGAGTTCCTATCAGTTTCAGCCAGCTTCTAGTAATTGATTGCTACTTAAAATATCGAATTTATTTTCCCAATTTCCATCTGTCACTGTTTCTTCTTTATTATGCCTTCTTCTCCGAGCTTGCTGCTCAACATCCCTGATACCAAACCCAGACGGCTCGCAAGAGACATAAAAGCGGCCTCAATCGTCCCAATTTGCATTTTCTGAATAATCCTGCATGTCTGATTTTGGTCACGGACGGCGTTTTCCCCTCAGGGCGCCTTTTACTACTGGGTGGGGGGATTTAAGCCACCTAGGGTAAAACGGGAGACGGGATATTCCGCCCCTTCTGAGCATCACGTACGCTACTTCGTTTCGGCTTGGGCGCTTTAACTCGTTCATTTGCTTTGGTTTTGGTCTTGAGTGAGATACGGAATACCTCTTTCTAGGCATGAGATTGGTCCTTGGGTTAAGTCTTTTTTTCGGGGGGTTTTTCCCCCTTCAACGCCGCTGTTACGTTTTGTGGGGCACAATGGGATCTGGGAATGCGACTTGTGACTTAGAGGTCTAATGGCACATGGTAAAAGGTCCAGTGATCTCCAGCATGCCCAAATATAGACCTACGAATGCAGAGTGGGTCGGAGTTGATAGCCATGTCTGGTAGGGCTTGCGGAAGCATGCGGTCTGCCTTGCCGATGGAAGTATTCTGAACTCCCTGAGGAAAGCTAAATTGTTTACGGGGCTATTTCCTGTCCATCCAAGTGCTTTCCTTGGAAAAACCAGCGTTTCACGGCGCTCACTGGCCAGTCGACCCCTGACAGTGCACATCAGGCCTTTCCTCGATTTGCTTCTGTTCTCAATTCCTTGCTACTCCATATCTGCGACCCATGTCTGCGACTCATTAAGCTGCCACATTTGCAGCAAATGGATACCCAGAGACGCCATGGGATTCGATGACGGGAACTCCCGCCACTCCAAAAACTCCAAGCACCAAGAAACCCCAGTGTTTGCTTGAGTGATCGGCGAAGGATGTATCGTGAGTGTATAGGCTATACACATACATGGGAAATGGACATCAGCCGGCACAGTGCAGCGGGACCCGCTCGTCCATGCCGTCACCTAGGAAGTTCACTACGTTTTACAAAAGAAAAGAAAAAAAGGCGACTGGCCGATAATATTTTTCACGCTTGATGAAAGGGGGGAGGAGTGGATGGACAAGGCGCCCCCAGTGCAATCCCACCTCCAGTCCCAAACGCAATCTAATCCATGGGCTCGCAATGTCAGACTCCACCAAAGTTGCAACCCACCCAACCCACCTCGGGTCATCCGTCGTCCATTCAGAGCGGCAAGATGCTCTCTGTGAACTTAACGCGAAGCTATCCCCACCACGTCAAACAGGCTGCTGCATTCTACCCGCATGAGGGTGTTCTCTTGTGACTTTGTCCCTGACATGTATGATAACCAATTGATACTATGGCGCAATGACATCGGACGATATTTTGGACAAATCTTGATATTATCATTCCATGTTGCCACATCCACCCTTGCCCGCCCCCCACTGCGATGACTTTAGATATAGTGCTTGCTCATCCTCACTCAGCTTCATTCAAATTACTCCCTTGATACTATTATAATATTCCTCATACAGTTTCTTTCTCCGCTTGACATCCTGGCAGTTACCTTGGAGACTGCTTCTTGCGAAGAATGCGATGATGGACAAGGGTTTTGGAGCCCCAAATCCACGGACCACCACCGACGATCCAGGATATCTTTCCTTGACGAGTCTTTTATGACTGAAACGGATAATTAGAACCCACCTTTTGTGCCCATGTTGCACAGCCTCTGGATGTTAACCAGCAGAGGAACAAATAGGGTGTAATGCACATTTTTGACCTTCTCAATATGCCCTAAGGCGCTAGACACCGCCAATAAGTCGGAGCCAACTATACTTCAAAACCCAGCTCTCTACTGCATTCTTCTCTCCTTTTGTTTCCCTTTTTTGCATTTCTTATCATTTGTTTTTTGGAAACCATCTCCAGGCCAGCTGTTGCCAACTGGGGTAATATAATTTGCGGTAAACAACACAGGCACACTCCCTCAGCATCATTTCTGTCTATCGCTGGGCGCGTGTCGGTAACCCACTTCGATGAGTAAGGTGGCCTTCTTACGTTGAAAGTGGTTAATCTATTCATATGACATTAGAATCTCGTTTTCCTCTTCGTTTGCCATTCTAGGTCGGGGGGATAGAATTATAGACAGGAGAGGATTAGAGCAGGCAAAAAGCGAAGCACAGGATATGCAGAATCATCACTATGTATATTCGGTTTCCGTGACCTTTTTTCCCTTCCATCTCCCACTTCCCATAATCATGGTACCCATTTCATTTTCCTGTGTGCATTTTGTGTGCAAGAATGCGCACAATCAAAGGGTGAAATTTACAATAGCAACAGAATGAAGAATCATGAATGAAAGAATAAAAGAGTAAACGTGGGATAAAACAACAACAACAACAACAGAAATTGTCGGCTTGGGCAGCAAAGCAGAGAAGTATACCAGCTAACTGAGACCGCGTCAACTTGGAAAACGCTGAGTTGTTGGCTGGATAACTAAATGATCCACATTCAGTGATTATAATTGATCCAAACCAAACACCTGCGCGAAGCAGTTCGTTTAATAGGCAAAGATGCCTTAAAGTGCATGCACGCCATATGTCATTTTTACTCTCTCTGCAACTAGTTAGTTACCCCCGATGTGTTGGGCAGAGTTTGTGCCGTGGTTGTTGAAGAACCTAGTTAACTAAACAAGGCAGCGAATGAACTGTTGGCGGACTGGCTCATCTGCATTCAACTGACCAGTTTCGAGATGTCTGGGTGTATGTATTGAGAGAATAGTAACGATAATTTTAACCATCCACGTTGTTGACAGGAAGGACGATTTTTGCTGTCGATATCGACTTAAGGGATTATTCTACTCATTATCCCACCAACTCACATGAAAAAAGTATCACAGCGTAAAATTTAACATAAAGAGATATTAGTTAATGATTAAAAATTTAAAAATAAAAATAAAAATACGCAATTAACTCAACTACGTCTTAAGAAACGGGATCCGCGGGACGCCTATACTCCATCAATTAATTCGGTGCGGATATTCAAAGGCGTTAACTCGATCGATGCAGAGACATATATATATATTCAGATACAATTATGCAACGGGGACGATGAGGCAACTTAAAA